AGGTTCTGTGTGTTTTTTTCCCCCGAGCTTAACTGTATTCATGTCATTATGCTCAACCCTACTTTGAGGAGGCATTTTTTTCCACAATGGCTTTCTGAGTGCCCTCCCACCTTCCAGTCCTATATCTGACACTGTTTCTCTGCTATGCATAGAGTTTTCAGTAACTAGTGATTCGGAAGTAGTTTGTGACTCTTTCTTCCTAGTCTGTCTTTGTTTTGTAGCTCATCTGAAACCTTCTGGTTCAAACCAACTGCAGTCCAGCACATTAACCCACAGCACCACACCAGAACTCACATTTAGGAGGTAGGAGGAATAAATCAAAACTCTTTTTTTAGGTAAAGAAAGAAATATATTTACCAACTCGTTACGTTCTGTGTCATTGCATCAGTTCCAACTCATAGAGACCTTGTATATGTTTTCTGAAGAGTGGCTGGTGCATTTGAACCACCAATCTTGCAGTTCAAACTGACCTTGTGGTCCAGTGAATGATCCTGCAACAGGCCTCTGGGAGCGTAATGGTTACAAGTCGGGTTGCTAACTTCAAGGTTAGCAGTTCAAAACTGCCAGTGATTCCATGGGAGAAAGATGAGGCTTTGTGCTCCCATCAAGATTTGCAGCACTGGAATCCCTAGACGGAGTTGCTGTGACTTGGAACCAAATCCACAGCACATAACTAACCAACCAACCAACCAGGCCTCCATAGCAGGTATTTAAGGTGAACTTGGAAGAACATTACATTTCTCCTTTTGATGAGAGATTGGACTATATGATCTCCAAGGTTTCTCAAGTGTTTATATTCCCTGGGCTTATGATTCTATTATTGTTGTTGCTGTTGATAGGCATCATTGAGTCAGCTCTGGCACATTCTGATCCTATGTACAACAGAACGAAACACTGCCTAGTCCTGCACCATCCTCACTATTGTTATACTCGAGCCCTTTTCTGCTACCACCATGCCAATCCGTCTTATTGGGGGGAGGGGTGTCTTCCTCTTTCTTGCTGACCTTTCACTTTATCAAGTCATCCTTTTCCAGGGACGGTCCCTCCTAATAACATGTCCGAAATATGAGAGATGAAGGAGCATTCTGGCTATACTTTTTCTAACACAGATCTGTTTGTTCTTCTGGCAGTCCATGGTACTTTTAACATTCTCCTCCAATACCATAATTCAACTTCATCAATTCATCTAAGATTTTTACTTATTCATTGTCCAATTTTCACATGCATATGGAGCTCTGGTAGCATAGTGGTTACGAATCGGGCTGCGAACCTTAGGGTCAGTGGTTCGAAACTACCAGCCGCTCCGTGGGAGAAAGATGAGGCTTTCTACTCCCATAAAGATTTACACCCTCGGAAACCCTGTACAGGGTCGCTATGGGTCGGACCCGACTCGATGGCACTTAACAACAACAACAACAACATGGGGCTATTGAAAATGCTATGGTTTTGGTCAGTGGGACCTTAGTCCTCAAGCTGATATCTTTGTTCTTGAACACTTAAAATGGGTCTTGCACACCTAATTTACCTAATGCAATACGCCATTTGATTTATTGACAGTTGTTTCCATAACAGTTGACTGGGCAAAATGATTTTTTTAGAGGTATGAATAATTTATTTGGAACCTGTTGGATTTAAGGGCAGAGATGTCAGACCCCAGAGATTACAAACCAAAATGATGAGAGAGCTAGCAAAAGTTATACAGTTTTATAAATGTGGCACTATCAAATTTGTAAATCAAACAAATTACATTTGCAGGTCAAAACTTGCCTAAGGCTCCTAAGTTTAAAACCTTTGCACCAAAGAAAGTGAAATGCACTAAGACAAATTATGTAATTTGGGTAGAAAATCTTGGACAGAGCCAAAGGGAGATAAAAGATAAAAGGAGAAATCTTGGCATGTTTGTGAGAGTTATTCCTTTGTTATGAGTTGAAAGAGAATCAAAAGGGAAGAAAGAATCAAAGATCCTGTGTAGTTTAGACCCTGGAGACCAATACATACTGGTTTTGCTCTTTGCATGTAAGTTATATGTATTGTTTTTCTGCCTATTTTTGACTTGTCCTCTCATTGTCTTATTCCACATAACTGCATACCATTTATAAACTTAAAATTCAATTGGGAAAGATAAAATATAAGTCAGTGTGAACTTTCTTAATCATTGTGGATTAATCTTAATCAAAATGGAATTACAGTTATAAAACTTTTGAAGAAAGACTCTGAATTAATTAACTATGAACTCTACAAAAAGATACAATTTTTATTCGTTTCATGTATGACTTGTCCTATTTCCTTGCTGCAGGTACCTTCATTTGCAAGATGGTGCCATTTGTCCAGTCCACCGCTGTAGTGACAGAAATTCTCACTATGACCTGTATTGCTGTGGAAAGGCACCAAGGACTTATACATCCTTTTAAAATGAAGTGGCAGTATACCAACCGAAGGGCATTCACAATGCTAGGTGAGGCCACGGCTGCTCCAGTGTTAAGGTTAATGCCATTTTTCATTACAGGACAAAGAGAATTTCTTCAAAGAGAAACAAACATATTTACAGACAGGAAAAAGTAGCTTCTGGTCTAGATTGGAGGTATCAAACTATAACTTGAGGATTTTGAGCCTTTCCCATTTTCATCCATCCTCACCCCATCTCTTCCCTAGGCCCACTACAACACTGAAAATCTCTAATTTCAGATTCACTTATCGGGTTAAAGTTTGAAACTTTTAAGTATTGATTCTAGCTAACCTAAAATAACCCGTTGGTAGCACATTCCCACATGTGCATCCATTAAAGTAGTAAGATGTCATCTGAAGTAAGAAGGCTATAAGCTAACATAAAGGTGAGTAGCTGTTGATGGAAGCAGGAATGGGTGTTTAGAAGAGAGCAGATCAGGATTGCTGCCAAGAGGTGGGTACTGGTAGGGAGGAAGAAATAGCAAAAGGTCACGGACAGCATGAAAACATAAGACACTGAGTGCAGGAGACAAAGACAAATTCTACCTACTTCATAATTTTGCTCCAGGCAATCCTGGTTCCTCAGCTTGTGGTATCTGTTCCTGATTCAGCAAGTCATGATGAGCATGTACCCATAGAAGAAGGTTAAATTTGAAGTACTATCCTAATGGCTAGCACAGCTAAATGGAAGTTTCTCTATTCAGTAAGTATAATTCAGCTATTTAAAATCATAATGTGCTTCACAGTTATTTGGGTTTATTATAGTGAAATAATCAGAGATTTAGTAAGCAACTAAAGCCATAATCAAAGGGAGCAATTTTGACTAATCTCACTTGAAAGGAATCAATCATTTATTTCTTCATTAAGAATTCCAACAGCGTAGGATCATGGAATTATAAAAAGAAACTTTGAAAACATTGCAATGTTAAACTCATCTTAAATAGTTTCAAACAAATTGATAAATCAATCAAAATAACTAAGTCATTTGTTTCACTTAGCTATTTTCAAACTTATATCACATATTTTCTAAAAACTAAAAAGAATCATAAATCTCTTTGCTTTAAAGAATTGACATCCTTCCAACATCAGAAAATCTGAGAAAAGCATATTGTTGTGGAAAAAGGAAGAAATTTATTAAAAGGGGAGAAAATAGAGGGAGTGTTAACATTAAAAAGCAAAGTTCATAATAAGCAGTTAAAGTAGAACTTACTCAAAAAAGTCATTGTAGACAGGGAAGTTTTAAAAGACTCCTTCTCATGAAAGTGTCTGGTTGTTGAATGACAGCTCCCTTCAACTTTGATACACCTGCCTTGTCACTCACATGTTTGTCATGTCCCACACCTCCTGGGAGCTAAAATTGCTATTCCTTCATACCCTGGCCAAAGGAACCTAGAAGTGGTCCTAGACTGAGTTAGAATTGTACATCTAACTTTCATGTACCTTCTATCCCTAAGTAAACAGTGATCAAGGAACATTGACAGTGACCTAAACCATTTAGACTAAATTCCTCCAAAATTTGTACTGAAGATTGGAAATACAATTGGACATAACTAGAAGAGACTAGAATAGAATAGATGTGTATAATGTTGTAAAAACCCTTCTACCATTGAGTGGATCCCATTCATAGGGACACTCTATAGGGGTTCTGAAGTTGTAAATCTTTATGGGAGCAGAAAGCTTCATCTTTCTCCTAAAGACCAACTAGTGAGTTTGAACTGCCAACCTTGGAGTTATCAGTCCAGTGCTTCTCCTACAGTAACACCAAGGTTCTTGTATACTTGCATAGGTTATATATATAACCTATATAAGTGTGTATATATGTATATATGTGTGTGTGTATGTGTGTGCACGCGTGTGTGTGTTGCTGTAGATGTAGATAAGTACTGCACCCAAGGTTGGTGGTTCAAACCTATTAGTTACTCCTAAGAAATGCTATACAGGGTCACTATGAGTTTGAACCAACTCAGTGGTACCTATATATATATGTGTGTGTGTGTGTGTGTGTTGGTGATGTTGTTTTATATATCTATATATACACATATGTAAGGAGCTTTGGTAGTGTAGTGGTTGCGAATTGGGCTGCTAATTTCAAGGTCAGCCGTGCAAAACTACCAGCTATTCTGCAGGAGAAAGATGAGGCTTTCTGCTCCCATAAAGATTTACAGCCTCGGAAACCCTGTACAGGGTCACTGTGAGTTGGAGCAGACTCCATGGTACTTAACAACAACAACAACAACACACACACACACACATATACATATACATACGGAGCCCTGGTGTGGCGCTGTGGGCTAGTCAGACTGCAAAGTTATTTGAACTACAAGGTTGGTGGTTCAAGCTCACCAGCTGCACCTTGGAAACCCTATACAGGGTCGCTATGGGTCAGAACCGACTCGACGGCACTTAACAACAACAGCAAATATATATGGACCTCTGGTAGCGTAGTGATTATGAATCCGGCTGCGAACTGCAAGGTCAGCAGTTCGAAACTACCAGCTGCTCTGCGGGAGAAAGATGAGGCAT